CCACTGTTCCATGTTTTCGCCATTTGTGGATAATGGCTCTCACTGTGGTTGGCTGGAGTCCCAAAGCTTTAGAAATGGCTTTATAACCTTTTCCAGACTGATAAATATCAATTGCTCTGTTTCTCATTTGTTCCTAAATTTGTTTGGATCACAGCATGATGTCTAGCTTTTGAGGATCTTTTGGTCTACTTCACATGTCAGGCAGGTCCTATTTAAGTGATTTCTTGATTGAGAACAGGTGTGGCAGTAATCAGGCCTGGGTGTGGCTAGAGAAATTGAACTCAGCTTTCCAAAGATGTGATAAACCACAGTTGATTTATGTTTATACAGGGGGAGCAATCACTTTTTCACACAGGGCCATGTAGGTTTTGATTTTTTTTCCCTTAATAATAAAAACCTTCATTTAAAAACTGCATTTTGTGTTTACTTGTGTTATCTTTGTCTAATATTTCAATTTGTTTGATGATCTGAAACATTTCAGTGTGAAAAACATGCAGAAAAATAAGAAATCAGGAAGGCAAACACTTTTTCACACCACTATAGTTAGTTGTAATGGTCAAAGAAGTATCTAAGCTTGAAATTCATACTGAGTTGCATTATTGCAATTTATTCATTATTGATTTTTTTTTTATTAGCATTACTACTGCGTACAGTATATCCTTCACAGTCACCATTTTGAAATAGAACTCTATGAGGTATCAGAGGATATGCCAACATTTTTTTCCAAAAGACATTGAGATTAAAGACATTTACATTTAGTTTAGGAGCTGCAAAAAAATATATTTTAGTACACATTAAAAGAGTTCCTATTACCAAATAAGTACCAATCACTTGGTATTTTCTGATCCTTTCATGCATGAATTGTATGACCATTAGCACATTTCTTTATACTGTAAATGTTTTTTTGGTGTTCATAACTTATTTTGCAACTTGAATTAAGAAAAACTATATAACTATAACTATTTTAGTACACCTGAAGAGCTGACTTGATATAATTTATGTTCATTTTTTGGCATAGTTGGAGAAGTGCAGGTTTCTAAAGTCTGTTTGTGATTGTCCTTATCAGCATCAGTTTGTGGTCACTAACAGGAACAGTCATTAAGCTCTTTGTTTACTTTATCACTTTTTCTTTAGTACCATCTTATGTTTAACAAGCTGGTGTCCACAGTATATTCATGAAAACTTTTTTTTTTATCATTGTGAAAATATTTAATACTTCTCAATATTTTAATGCAAAACACAAAAATGAATATTTTGTTTCACAGAAGCAAGTTATTTTTGCACAATTTAAAATATTATGAGTTCTGGATATAACTCTGCAGAAACTCAGAGAAAGGAAGACGTGTCTATCTCTTCAATCTGAAGTTCTGGAACTCTTCTAGCTTCCTTGCTGTTACGTAAAGCCATTAGCCATGACTAAACAACAGGACAAAGCGCATAGATTAGAGTAGAAGGAATTTATTGAAGCCCCTGGAAAATATAATTGGACCATGCATTAAAATAATCCTACAGGCAAAAAACAAATAATAGAGGTGCTTTAAAAGAAATTTCTGGCATAAAAATAATATGAAAAAATGAGTATGTCAAAACTGCCTGGAAGACATAATGTTCTTTTAAGAAGGACCCCAATAAAGTTTAATTTTTGTGTTATTACATATCTTCCAAAGCAATATTTTCCAGAAATAGGTGGCACCTTTTCCTTTTTCATACATATCTGGGTTGCAAATTGTGTCTGAAGTAAGTGGTAACACCAAAAGTGCCTCACATGAAAGCATGTCACAAAAGTTAGACAAATGTAAAAATTCAGATGTAATTATCCTTTCATAAGAGTGAAAAAATTAACTCATATAAATTAACTATTTATAAATATTGAATTTCCTTCTTCCTTGTTCTGGGCATTTGCCAACTTTAATAAAAGTGTGTGAATTGTAAAGTACCCTGGGAGCCATATCAGATTTGGGGTGTGAGTCATTTTATGATACATAGTGGAAGTCCAATCAAAAAGAGCGTGCTGTTTTCTGTGTTGAAAATGTAATTAGAATAGGAGTTACAGTAGGCTTTGATGCATCTCTCTGTGACAAATATATAGTTTTGGTTTCCTGCAAACAGCCTACCTCAAAATTTCTTACTTAAAGCGGATGTGGTTCAGGGGGTGTATGGGGATGTTTCCATTCCAGACTTGTAATGATGTCAAACTCAAGCCATATATTCAAAGTCTCACTGAGTATATGAACAAAAGCCTTTGAAGTTTCCTGCAGTGTTACTGTAATGCAGTTTAATCACGTTAATGATATGTTTTGGTAAGAATTAGATGAGAAAAATTCTTTCAAAACAAATCTGATGCTGAAACTTTTTTAATTCATTCTTAGCTAATTCTAAAAAAAAAATTCTCAGAATTTAAGTTACTTATTAAAGTTTTAACAGGAACATAGAGTATATATATGGTTATACTCATGTTTATATACTATGCATATATTCACCACATTCCAGTGGTTTCTCATATTTGTTGAGTTACAAATTAAGTACAAACTCTGTAAAGTTAATATATTCACGTTTCAAAAAATTGAATTCTCACTCTTAACACCTTTTTAGGTGAAGTAATTTACGTCACTGTACCCAAAGCAAAAAAACAAACATATGCATAATGTACGTATATCATTAACAAAATTTAACAGAATGACACATCATTGGAAGTAAAGACTTTTGCCACCTACTGTATATTATCATCTTTCTCAATCCATTGCCACTGTAAATGAAGGCCACCCATACAGTACATTCTTCCACAGCTTTCACTCAACCTTGCTACTGTTTTCATCCTGCACAAAGATTGTTTTGTAATCCTTTATTTATCCTGATAAGTCAGTTGAAGACAACACTCTGAAGAGTATCCATTTATGCAGCAGGAAATTTACTGGAGCAATTTTAGTGAAGTACTGTATAGTATCTTGATCAAGATTACAACAGCAGTGTGCCAGCGGGGTTTTGAACGTATAACCCTTGGTCAAGCCAGAGTCCTGACAACTACTGTATGGAGATAATCTTTAATCTACTGCATGTGATTTTTTTTGTTACTACTGTCTTTTCATTATAATTATTTTTCTTTATCTCTTCCTTTTTAGTAGTGGTATAGGCATTTCTATACTACCTACATGATCTGCAAAAACACTGAATTAGAGGCCATCTTATAAATTAGGTATAATTGTATACATATAATGACAGCAACATTGACAACTTATAACATGCCTGGTCAGTACTTAAATGCACTCACATTGAACTCTTCCTTTTTAACCAGAATTT